TATCCAGATACTGCAAACAGAAAACAGACTCAGATGGGTTCTGATTTTGGGTCCCCAGTCCAAGGCGGGAGAGCATAGAAACCTAACCACAGTTACTGATCTGCAGCAACCTGTATTTCCCGTGTGCAGCTCTAGAGTGAGTACTATGCGCATTGTTGTTTAGTATAGTTTGCAATGATAGTAATGTAGACTACCCATTGCCAAATACTTGGCACGGAAGCAGACCAGAGGTAAGTCAAGTTTGCTACCAGGCTACTGATTTATCCATCCATCCATCCATCCATCCATCCATCCATCCATCCATCCATCCCATCCATCCAGCCTTCTTTCCTTTTTTATCACTCAGCAGCTGCCTGGCTACTCCCACTTTTTTTCTGCCTTATAAGATGGTTTCCATTGAGTTGTCAGAGAGGAAAAACTTTTGCTCTAGCCTCATTGTGTTAATTGGTATCATGTGAATTAAACTAATGAAATTAAAAGGAACAAAGACACTATTTTTATTAATATTTACAGGAATAGGGGTTGACAAAAAAATAAATGAAACTCAAAGTGGTTAAATTCAGGGACTTATTTAGTGCTCTTTTTTTTTTTTTTTTTTTTAAGAGGGTTTGAGTGTCCAGGAAAAATAAATTATGGAGTGAGGAGGAAATACTTAGAAGAACGAATGAATAATAAAGGCTATTTTAATAGTGTCTGTTAATAATGCAGAATCAGGCTGGGATATAGCTCAGTGGCACAGCACCTGTTGGCAAGGATGAGATTCTGAATTCAATTCTGGGTACCAAAAAAAGTAAAGCAAAAGAAAAAATTAATTTAGAGAATTCATAGGGCTGGAGATATAGCTCAGCCCCACATGTGTCTGCCTGGGAAGGGCAAGGGCCTGAGTTAGATTTCTGGTACAAATTTAAAAAAAAACAACAAAAAACCAGAATCATCATCTTGGTTGATCCTCCTCAGGTGAGTGGTGTTTCACTCCCTGCCTTTTTTTTCTTTCCACTTTGATAGGGTATGGTTGAGTCACTGAGTTGCCCAGGTGGGGCTTGAATTTGGAGTCCTCCAACCTCAGAGTGAGGTATAGGTGCGTGCCACAGCGCCTGGCCTCTTCCTGGCTTTTAAGACCCAATACTATCATGAACTACTGGACTCTTTTAAAATATGTTGCTGAGTTAATACACCTTAATGTTCAAATAATGGAACTAAACAAAAAAGGGGATACAGATGAATGTCCATTTTGTATCTGTGTATTCAAAGTTGTTAGAATAGATATATAGTTACATTCTCTTAATGAATAGAAGGATTTGTTCTAATAGTGTTTGTAAATAGGATATCATATCTACATCTTGTACAGCAAATAACCACTAGGAAGAATGTATGCAATGTGTTAATTATTGAAACTGTCCTACCAGTTTGGTTTGAAACTGTCTCATTGCTATTTGTTTCTCAATAAAATTATGAAAAAAAAAAAAAAAGACTTGAGAAGGTGGACCTCACAGGAATAACTGTGATGCAAGAAGAAAAGGGTGGAGAAGAGAACTTAGGTATCTGCTGATTCTCACTTGCCTTTAGCTTAAAAGAAGCTCTGTGCAAAAGGGGCGTATTTTGGAGTTATATATTCTGACCCTCTTCAAAATGTTTGAAAGAATAGAGTTCTTATCCGAAGTATAGTGAAAGAGACATAATATTCTCTGGTATTACTGCTATTTCTTCCAGTTTCCAGCTGAATAAGGCAAAAACAATACACTGTGTCTCTCTTCTCTTTTCTTTGCCCTATTTAACCCAAATTAGAACATAACCTTTTTTTTAACACAAAATTTTTTAATTTTTTGAGACAGTCTCACTATGTAGTTTGGGCTGGCCTCGAACTCATGGTAATCCTCTTGCCTCAGCCTCCTGAATGCTGTAATTACAGACCACCTTCTTTTAGAATAATACAATTGGGTGATTGGAATTTCCCCAGAATTTGTCATTAAAGGCTAAGCTGCTTATCGCTGACTGGTTTTCCCACCTTGGGCCCCTGACTTCTTACTGTGTTACTAGATCTTTGCTCCACCCACCTCCTTTTCAATCATCTCTTTGAATTCTTTTTTAGTCTAAACATCAGAAGCTGATATTTTTCTTCCAGTGTTTAGCAAAGTAGTTCAGTTTTCTGACCACATGTGTTTGTGAGCTTCCTTTCATGAGCCTAGCAATGTAATGAAGATGCTCTCTTAAATGCTTATTCCTTTTTCGGAGAAATTTCTGTGCCTAGCACAAAATGCTAATACTTCTCACCTACTCAGCCTCCATCCATGCATTTGTATGTTCATCCAGTGTCCGCCTATTAATTTAACCATCTCCCACCATCCCATGCCTACACATTTCTGCTCTTCGTCCGTCCTAACTCTTACACATTCTCTCCTCTCCCTACCCTCTCTGGAGACCTACAACATTCCTTATGAGACATTTCTCTCCCTTTGTAAAAAAGAAACTTCCACTTTACCAACATGTCAGTTGTCTTGAGATAGATTTAAAAATTAGGTAAGAGTTGTATTTCTGGGACTGAGCAATTATAATATTGATCGTGGGCAAAGGAAGGACAGAAAAGATCCAAGTACAATCAAGTAGGCAGAGCCAAGTAGGATCTGGGTCATTCATTAAAGGAGACAGGTTAGGAAGAAGATGTTTATGGACCTCAAAGTTAGCGTGTTGTTAGAAATCAGCATAAAAAGTGCCCGTGTGTGTACAGACATGCTAGACACCACCTCTTACTCTTAACTTTGCTGAAAATATAAGACAATAAGAAATTGATCAAGGCTGGCGAGAGAGCTCACCGGACTAAGCGCCTGCTTAGGCAAGTGCGGTAACCAGGGTTTGATGCCTGGTACTGCATGGTACGTAGGCCCTGCCCCGGAATGCGCTGAGTCGAGACTGAGTCCAGGTGTGGTGGCGCACACCTGTAATCCCAGAGCTGGGGAGGCTGAAAACAGGAGGATCCCTACCATTCTGAGCTGTGTAGTGAGACCCTGTACCAAATACATTAAAAATAATAATAAAAATAACTGACCTGTGAACTATAAGATTGCTTCTCTCTCTCTCTCTCTCTCTCTCTCTCTCTCTCTCTCTCTCTCTCTCTCTCTCTCTCCAGGATCTTCCTATGTGGTTCAGGCTTGTCTTGAACTTACTGTGTAGCCCAGTCTGACCTCAAACTCACAGTGATCCTGCTGCCACAGCCTCCTGAGTGCTGGGATTACACACAGGTAGACTGCTTCTGAAGACTGCGTAACTCGGCATGTCACAGAGGTCTATAATTGGGTAGATCACTGATAATGCTAATCTTATAGCAAAGATTACTTTTATATGAGATATTTTTAGGTTTTTTTAGTTTGTTGTTATTAAACCCAGCAACATGTACATCCTAGACAAATACCGCACCACTGACCTATACCCTACCCTGGCCCCTGTACCACTGACCAATGCCTGGTCCCTGGACTTAATATTTAATGTCTATATATCAGGATATCAGGAATTTCTTAGATTTGCTAAGGTTTTTTTCCCTCTTGTTTGTAGTTGACACATGGAATAAGATATAACTTTTCAGCATAGGACAAATTTGAAATAAATTCCATTCTTCAAAATGTTCCTCTTGTACCCTGACAATGACCAGCTTTTACTTTTTCTTCCCCTTAGGCAGGAAAAGTTACTCCAATTGGACACAGAGTTGCAACTTGCTTAACTGAAAAACTTCCTAGGGTAAGGTTTTTAATTATACCTTTATGTTTCTCTTTTTACTTCATGTATGATCATTAAGAGATAGACAAGGCCAGCGAGATAGCTCGGTGGATTAAGTGCTTCCTTAGGTAAGCGCAGGAGCTGGGGTTCGATCCCTGGCACCAAAAGCCACACGGGCACGCTTAGCCAGTGATGGAGTCTGGGCATGGTGGCACACGCCTGGAATTGCAGCACTGGGGAGGAAGAAAACAGGAGGATTAATATGAGTCTGAGCTGGCTACACAGATCGGATTTGTAGTAAACCTTCTGTTTTCAACCTCCCAAGTGCTAGGATTACAGATGCGTGCCACCATGCCCAGTCTCAACTGTAGTCTCTGCGCGCCCCATGGGTGGGACCAGCATGGCAAGACAGGGATCAAACCCATTACAGCCCCTGCCTAAGCAGGAGCTTTAGTCCACTGAGCTATTTGGCTGGCCCTTGTACTGGGCATTCTGTTATCTTTTTGAGATAGTCTCACTATGCTATTCAGGCTGACCTTGAACTCACTCTGTAGCCCAAGCTGGCCTTGAACTCTTTCTGTCTCAGCCTGCTGAGTTTTGGAATTACAGGCCTGAATCATCATGACTGGTTCAAAACTCCATTTGAAAGTTGTGTAAACCTGATATGTTCAATTTTGACTCTTATTTTAAGGCCTTCATTGATTTTGTCCACCAAAATGAAAATTATGGATTGATGTTTTTCATCTTTATTATAAAAGCCATAAAGGATTCAGTTATTTTGATAAGAATACCCAGGTGTGGTGGCACCTACCTATAATCCCAGCGCTTGGAAGGCTGAGGCAATGAGGCAGGTTTGCACAAGTCCAGGCCAGGCTGGGCTATAGAATGAATTCAAGGCTGGTCTGAATTATATAGTAAGGCTCAGTCTCAAGGAACAAAAAAGAAAAAGAAAATGGAAATGGAAATGGCAAAAAGGGTATAATTTTAAATTAGATACTATTTATTTTCTAAATATAATTTTTAAATATATTATTTATTCTCATAAGCACATACATGTTAAAGGAAACTTAAAGCTGTAAGTTCCCCATGCACTTAATACACTCGTGAAATTAAAGGTATACATTGATTGGTGTAGAAAAGTTCAGTTATGGTTTAGAAATTATATTTAATAATAATTCTATTTTCTTGTCTTATTTGCAGCTAATTACTCCACCAGAGGCAAAAAAGTATTACAATTTCAGATATCCACCTCCAGGAGCAGAGAGAGTATTTTATGGCAAAGCAAACGATCCCAAAATTGCACCTTACTTGACACATGGAATAAGATCTAAAATTTCAATACCGGTAAATTCTTTTCTTTTTTTCCTCCAATGTGCATTATTAATTTACCAGGATAAAAATACACAAATGAAGAATCCAAATTCCTTTCCACATGTTTGTTTGATCATTCGTTGTTTGTTTTTATTGAGACAGAATCTAGCTGTGTAGATCAGGCCTTGAAATTTTTCTTTTTTTTCAGTACCAAGGATCAAACTTGGGACCTTGTGCTTGCCAGGCAGTACAAGGCCATGCTGCTGGGCTATATCCCTAGCCCTGGGCCTTGAACTTGTGCTGGTCCTCCTGCCTTAACTTCCCAAGTGCTGGGGTTACAGGATTAAATCACCCTGCCTGCTCCACCATGTATAGTTTTACAAGTCTTTTTTTCCCTCCGTACTCTGAAAGCATCAATTTTTTTTTTTTTTTTTTTTGTGGAACTGGGGATTGAACTCAGGCCCTTGCACTTGCCATGGATATGTTTTAAAATTGTATATTAATACGTGTTTGCAGTATATGATGATTATATTCATCATAAGAGAAAGCATTAATTTTTTTTTGGCTGGCTCAGGATGCCTTAAGGGCAGGTCTGGTAAGGCATGAGGATCTGGGGATAGAATCACAGAATCTTGAGCCTGACTGCTTTGCTTAAGCAGGCACTTAAACAACTGTGCTAATGGGCAAGCTCCCAAAGGCATTAATTTTGATCAATGAAAAACTCCAAGCAGCACCCAAGAGAGTATGGAGAAATTAATGGCTCAAACCACAGACTCTTCCCCCGTCGGATGATAAAAGGGGAGTTGTTATCCATTTTCTCCCAGGAAACAGAAATGCTTTCAGGCTTTATTGGAGAATAAGGGCAGTGCTGGTGACTCCTGTGTAGAAGGACTGCAGAATGTTTAGATGTTAGTGGAGGTGGAGCCCAGAAGTTATCTGCTGTTGATTGAGTGGATAGTCCAGATTCAGGAGGATCTCATCTCTACATCTGGAGAGAACATGAAAATTACAGTTTAGGAAATACAATAAATAAATAAATAATTTACAGTTTGTAGTCTTGTTGTTCCTACTTTTATTAGTATATGTCTGTGATATCTAATGATAAAATTCACATATGGTATTCATACATAGGGCATCTTTTCATTTTTCTTGACTATATGAGTCAATGTCTGCCCTATATTTAACCTTTCTAGTTCCACTGCAACTTGTAAATTCCCACGAAGTCCTCATTTAGGCATGCTTGTGCTTCTTAGTATCATTTTTGATAGCTCATTTGAAGGTGAGAAAGCCACAATGACAATGAAATATTTTTCCATAATCATACTGTGTTTTCTCCCTCGCTTTTGCGTAGGACCTTAGTTTCAGATTTATATTTTTTTGTTGATGTGTCTGTGCATTGTATCATTTCTGTAGGCAGATACATTGATAAACCCACAGCCTATCACCACATTTCAACAGAAACTTAAAGAGAAAAAGGAGTCTATATATTATAGTAATCGGTGGGCGCCATTAGGAAAATCTCACGATCAAACACCGGGATTACCTAAAGGACTGGATGTAATCAATACAACATTTGGGACAGCAGTCATCAGAGGTAGTAAAAACTAAGGGGGAGTATGAAATAAGTTTTCTAGAAAATTGAGTTAAGTACACATTGGTATGGTTTTTGATGATGTAAATGATTAGTCAAAGAATGAGGTCATAGGATGCAGCTCAGGGCCAGGGTTATAGCCTGGCAAGTGCAAGAGCCTGAGTTTGATTTCTGATACAACAACAAAGACAATGAAAGAGCTGATTGTGGTGGTTATGTTATGTTGGAGGGGAAGACTGAAATAGTGAATGGGTTGCATTTTGACTTGCTATGCCAGCTGCTTAGGAATCTGAGAAGGGAAGATGACAGTTTTGAGACCAGCTTGGGCAGTATGTTTAGACCTTGTCTCAGAGTGGTTAAGGGGAAGGGAGCCGGGGAGGGGAAGAGAGAAAGCAAAATGTGGTAAATGAAGACTATGTTATGAGGCCTTGAATTCCTTCCGTAGCCCACACTGGCTGTCCTCAAACACATGATCCTCCTGCCTCAGGCTCCTGAGTGCTGAGGTTGTGGCTGTGCTCATCCATGTATAGTGTAGGGAAACTTTTGCTGCTAGGTCGAAAGGGAAGATTGAAATAGTAAATGGAGTTGCATTTTGAAATTCTTATGTAAGCTAGATGTGGTGGTGCATGCCTATGTCTGTAATCCCAGCACTTGGGAGGCTGGGGCAGGAGGATTGTTGTGAGTTCAAGACCAGCCTAGGCTACAAAGTGAGCTCAAGGCCAGCATGAACTGTATAGTGAGACCCTATCTCAAAAAGACAAAAAACAAACAAACAAAAACCCCACATTCTTATTTTCTTATGGAAACAAAACAGTTCACCCAATATGAAACTAGGGGCTTCCACTCATTGGAAAAACGCTCTTCAACATCTTATCTAGAATTTGGACTAGGAGAAAAAAGAATCTCTTCCAGGTACTAGTGATTTCCCTGTACCTCTGGTGATGGGGATGGAAACTCATTAAAAAAGAAGTCTCTCCCTGCACCACACAACGTGCTGGCCCCACCCCCAGGTTGCACTGAGATATGACTGAGACTGGGTGTGGTGGCAAACTCCTGTACACACCTGTAATCCCAGCGCTTGGGAGACTGGAAACTGAAGAATCACTATGAGTCCAATCTGTGTAGTGAGACCTTGTAGATCCTGTACTAACTACATTAAAAAAAAAAAAAAAGTCTCAGGGTCTGTATGTCACTCTACCACTGCCAAAATTTGGGGTCATCCCACAGTGCATTAGGGCTTCTGATTTAAAATTTGCATTTGCTTAGGTCATGTTAAGAAGCTGTGAGGAAACTGAAATCAAAATTTTCTAGAGTATCTTAGGGTTGGGATTTTTTTTTTTTTTTTTTTTTTTTTTGGTGGAGCCAGGGATTGAACTCAGGTCCTTGCGCTTGCCAGGGAAGCATTTATTCCACTGAGCCATCTCCCCGGCCTCCCCAGGGTTGCGAATTTGACTGGGTTTTGGACCAAGGCTTAGGACAACTTAAATGGTTGACTGACACAGAGTTCTGGATAAATCTTCACTTGTGTTGGTTGTGACTTCCCAGAATCTCTGTGGACCTTGTGCATTTATCATTTGTTCTTGTCAATTTATGTACACTATGAATAGATATTTTAAAGCTGATTTCATGTATTCTTCTTTCAGAATTCTCTGCTAGAGAGGTAGTGAATCCACCAAAATCATATGATGAAGTATTTAAAGAAGGACAAGAAGGACATGATTTGTATGTTGTTTCTCACAATGATTATTATGTGGGTAAGTGGCCTGTGGCTGTGGGGCCCTCAGATTTGTAAAGAAAAGGACATAGTGTTTCTCTGTAAGTCTCAGTGCCTGGCCAACAATAAGTTATCAGTGAACGGTAATTTATCGTTGTTACAAGGTCATAAATCCTGATAGGAACCTGAGGAGGGAACCTGTAAACCCTGATAAAGAACACATGTACATGTATTTCAATTCCTGGGGATTGACTCTGGGGGCTTTTATATGTCCTGCAAGCTCTCTACTTCTGTCCCTGCCGCCCTACTAATGCTTTCTGTATATAAAATATAAAAATACTGATATTTTGTATTAGTACAAAATTTTAGTAATACATGCATTTTGTTTACTGCTTTTAAGTTTTAAAAGTTACTGTTCTTATTAAAATGCAAGGCTTTAAGTGCGAGATTGATTGATTGATTGATTGATTGATTTTTGTGGCCAGCTCAGTCCGCCCTGGGGGTGGGGCTAGGCATGGCCACTGAGCTATCTTGGCCTTCTAAGTGCTAGTTTTGTTTTTGTATTTAGTTTTTATTTTTATTTATTTTTTTAAGTGCTAGTTTTAGAGGAAGAACTCTAGGTGATGGTCAAGTGCACATTTTTTGGTCTTTTTTATTTTTTAATGAATACAAAGTAGTAATTTGAAAAGAGCATTAGAAATGGCACAACAGGGGCCGGGGAGATGGCTCAGTAGAATAAGCGCTTGCCTGGCAAGCACAAGGGCCTGAGTTCAATTCCTGTTTCTGCCAAAAAAAAAA